AGGTGAAGGCTCAGCACGGAGTCATCACGGTCGCAGGACGGTGATCTGAGGTCTTCTTCGTACAATTCAGCAGTCACTAGATCAAGTCGACTCCCTGTTGTTGCCAGGTGAGGCCAATTCTCGAATCCCGCCTTCCCAAACGAATGCCAACTCTTCTCCATATCTCATTCCACTTCTGCCTGGATGATAATGCTTTTTGGGAAACAAGGCTATGTGAAATTTAACGGGAGCATAACGTCTACTCATATGCTTGTGGGAAAATTCAACTACCACTGCTTATCGCCTTTAAGGAAATAAAGTGAAAACATCTCATATATATAATCATTTGATAGTCTTGAAGGCCGAGTTAAATATGAAAAATAAGCCCTATGTTTGCATAGAATCTCGCATAATCTTGCTACCCTTACATTATTCTCATCCAGGCAGGAGCGGACTTCAGAGGAATCATCAGCACCTCAGACGGGACTCGAACCCGGGTTGTATTTGTACAACGCATTGTCTTTAAATGACCTATGCAGAGCAAAATTACAGTCTAGCCTTGATGAGAGTACCTTTTAAGAGACTGGTCTATGCGAACTAATATAGAGAAAATAGTTGTAGAAGAATCCTATAGTTGATTAATGTTGGAATAAATTTTATTTCATAAGTTGGTCTCACCGACCATCGAGGGGGCTTGCCTTGCTGAACTTAGCAAGTATTAATCGGTGACACAAGGCGGCAATCCAAGGACCTATTCGCATAAATCCGCAGTAACCGCTCCTCGACTTCCCGTGATACGAACTTGCGGATCCTTTCCAGTCTCCTCCTCAAACGATATGAAAGGTATTCCAATATCAATCTATGTGAAATTCACTAAAAACACAAGGACTACTGATGCTCTTGGAAAAATTTCATCACCTCTCCTTCATCACCTTATGCATTTTTTTCATTTGGACTATGCATTCTTCTTTTTAAATACTTTTTGCGGCTTGAGTTGACCGATATGAAGTCGAGGTTAAATCACTTTGTCATGCAAAACGCTTTTAGATCAAGGTTGACGGTACTGCAGACCTGACGAAACCTCAACAGTTGTATTGATCAGGTTAATTCAAACAAGCATAAAGTTATCTTATCAAGCTTCCGATTGTCTTCGGTTGAGCATACTCATTCTGTCAGTTATTCTACATTTTTGCGGGATGAATAAGACGGCTAGTCGATTTGCATTTTTCAACGGTAGACGAGTCATTGCCAGCATTAGCCGGAGCCTTGGATTTGATAGAAAGGTAGCACGCATATTCTCTGAGACTTCAGAGACAAGTGAAGATGACACAGAAAATGAGTCGCCCTCACTGAAAGCTACCCTGAGGAGTATAAGAAAAGAGATTATTCTTACTGAATGGAATCAGCACAACATATTAGAAGAGAAAAAAAAGGTCAAAGAGGAGGAGGAGGGGGAGGAAGAGGA